AACAGAAGTCCACCTGGAGTGGGTGGCTGCCCAGCTATCCTGTCTGCACATGAGACCAGCCCCCACAGCAGGGACACAGGACCTGCCAGTAGACTGACCCACATGGGCGTGAGAGGAAGGCCAATTACCCAGGCTGGGCAGTCCTCCTCAGATAGTGGCCTGATCTGGAGGGGTGAAACGGCCATCTGACATGGGGCGGCCACCCTGTGTGGAGGCGGAAGCCCTCCCTCCAACAGAAGTCCACCTGGAGTGGGTGGCTGCCCAGCTATCCTGTCTGCACATGAGACCAGCCCCCACAGCAGGGACACAGGACCTGCCAGTAGACTACACAGAGCCTCAGTCCCTTCTGTGGCCCTAGAACCACAAAGGCCTTACTCTGGGCACTGTAAAACCATGGTCACTGGCTGATCCCACTCATGCTCAAATGCAGGCTGGGCTTCCATGGGCATCAGGCACTAGAGCAGAGAATGCACAACCTGGGTGAAGGAAGGTGAGCTGCTGGGCCTTGGATGGAAACAGCAAGGCACCACACCTGGGCAGCTGGCTCTTGCTGGCCAGCCCGGGCCTGGCTCTGTGGCCTCTGCTGGCCATCTCCTACCTGTTCCCTCGTTTGCTGATTTTTCCCTCAGCAGATGTTTTGTAAGTGCCAACCATGGGCCACGTACTATGTGGGCAGAGGGCATACAACACTTCTGCCGTGGCCTCTGGCTCAAGGCCCCTCTAGAAGCAGTGAGGTGAATCGTGAGGCTGACAGAGATGCAGCTTCCAGGGCCACCTGTTCCCAGAAAGGTCACCACAGCCCTGTCCAGGAGCATGACCTGGAGGTGGGTGCGCCTGTCGACTTCGACTTGGCAATCCACGTCCAACACCACACAGCAGGGCAGAACCTATTTGCTTCAGAGTCTCCCCCAATGTGATGTGCTCGATGGCACAGTTGCTCCCTTCCAGCTGGGGTCCCCCTCTGCACTGGGGCCTACATGGCTAGATGCAGAGGCCAGGCCAGCCGCTGGGGGAGTCCTTGGAAACAGGACTGTCTGGGGGGAGCCCCAGAACCCTCTGCCAGGTGTGACTGCGGCTACTCTCAGAGCCCAGAAAACAGATTTGAGTCTGAGCTCCAAGAGGGGAATGCTGGTGTGGAGTCTTCCAGGGGACATGTGTACCCTCACAGAGACGGCACTCCTGCATGGTGCCCTGCCCTCCCCACGTACCTGACACTCCCAGGGCACCAGGAGCTGTCAGGGCCCATGCACTCACAGGTCTGGCTGGCACAACCAAGAAGCTCCCACCATGGCCCCAGCCTTACCTGGTAGCAGACCTGGGATACAAGGGGCCCGGTGAGCCCAGGGCTAGGCACCGGGGGCTGTGCTGAACAGGCAGCTGAGCCTCTGCATGTGAGCCTTACCTTTGGTGTCATTCACGGGGTCCATGTGCCGGTAGATGTAGCCCTCCAGGTAGGAGTGGAACTTGGGTGTGGGTGGGAAGAAGGCCAGGCAGATGGCCATGAGCTCCCAGCCACGTGCCAGGCTCTCCAGGCGGAAGTTCTCGGTGGTCTGTCGGCAGAGCTGGATGTATAGCTCGTCCCGCAGGCCCTGCATGCTCCAGCCCTTGGTGGCAACCTCCAGAGCTACGTGCAGTGGGTCAGCCTTGGCCCGCCGGTCCCCCATGTACATCTGAATGAGCTTGAAGATCTCACAGGCCTCCTTCTTGACATGCCGGTCACTGGTCATGATCATAGGCTTCTTGATGGACTCGCTGCTCCAGGCCAACATGTTGGCGATGGACACCTTGCGCCGGAAGAGGCCCTGCGTGTGCTTGTTGAAGTGCTTGGAAGCCCAGTTCTCAATGTCTGTCTCCGAGGACGGCTTGCGCAGCGTGAAGGCGGGGAAGACGCAGCTGGCGCTGGGCATCATGCTGCGGCCCTGCCGGCCACTCTCAAACTGGGCACATGCGCCGAGGTCCTCGGACTGGGGAGGCAAGCGAGCCGTTAGAGACAGGGCTGGCTGACCACAGCCTGGGGGTGTGAGCCAGGCCCACCTGACCGGTGTGGGGGTAGGGCAGAGGAAGGAGAGAGGGCACCAGCATCACTGGGCCCCAGGGCCAAGTCCAGGCTTGCTTCCTGAACTCTCATCACTGTCTGCTTGCCAGGGAAGTGCTGTCCCTCCCTGCATGGGGACAAAAGGCTACAGAGGCAGGAACCCAGGGTCTGTGGTTCCTAAGTCCATGGCTCCGCCGTCATCCCCAGGGCCTGAGCCTGACTCAGGGAGTGACCCCAGGCTGACCCTTCTTCCCAAACCTCACTCAAGGGATATGCTCTGGTAGAGATGTCCTGAGTCACTAGAATGGGGACCCTGCAGGTGCCCTACGCCCAGGCAATGCCCAGGGCTGTGGAAGGGCTAGGCAGGAGGACGAAGAGTACTCCCTCAACATGACAGTGTTAATGCAGATGGTGCCTGTCTTGTCACAGGCTCAACGTTTGAGGGAGTTGTGGCCTTCAGTGTCCATGGCTCAGGGTCTGTAGGAAATGCAGGTTTCCCAGGAGGAAGGGCCCAGCCAGCCCAGGGCAGCTTCAGCACTGTCTGGAGGACAAGGGTCCCTGAAATAGGGGGGCAGAGGTGGCAGGGGGCTGAGAAGGAACCCATCCTCATCTGCATGGATGGTGGGGTGGCAGTACCCTTTGGGCTATAGGGGAACAAGCTGCCCTGCCCTGTAGGTCCAAGAGAGCAGGGGGCCTGAAGCTCAGGTGACGTGCAAGAAACCCCAAGTGTGAAGCATTTCGCTCCCCAGGTGCAGGGGTCCCCTCTCGGATCTCTGTGGTGCTGCCCTCGCTTTCTGCAACTAGGTCCTAAGACCTCTGGTTCCTGCAACTCACTCCTGGAAGATTCTGCACCCATGGACAGACCTGCACCCCACTATTCCCAGATCACCTTGTATTCCCTTGCAGATGGCCCTGTGCCCTTATAGCCCTCCAGATGACAGCCCCCCATGGATGGCCCTGTATTCCCACTGCACAGGCAACCTTGCACCCCTACATCCAACCCCAACAACTCTAGACCCCCATGTCCTCCCCTCAGACGGCCCTGGACCCCCCCCCCCTCCCCTCAGAGCCCCATGTTCTCTCCCTGGATCCCCATATCCTCCCCTCAGACTCCCATGTCCTTCCCCTAGATTGCCCTGACCCCCAAACTCTGTCCTCAGACTCCCACATCCTCCCCCCGGATGGCCCAAAGACCAGGTTGCTTGAGCCCGTGGTCTGTGCCCCTGCGCAGGCACACCTGCTCCCTCCGGTCCTCCCCGCCCGCCCCTGTGTCACCTGGGACGGGTGCAGGTAAGGCTCCGGGGAGGCCAGGTTGGTCTGGACCGAGATGCTCTTCTCCAGCAGAATCTGGGGGAAGCCGAGCTTCTCAAAGGGGCTCCTCCTCCAGTGCTTGCTCTCCTGCTGGGCCAGGGCCTCGTCCTCACTGAAGGCGCGTACCACGGGCCCAGGCATGGGCAGTGGCACCGCACCGTCACTCTCGTAGCCCGAGCCGTCCTTCTGCGAGTCCCAGCTGCCCCGCTGCTTCATGTGGTGGTGCACCTGCTGCGCCTCCCAGGCCAGCCGCGCCTGCGCCAGGAAGGGCTCACAGGAGCCCCGTGACCCCTCGGCCTCACCCAGCCGGCCCTCAGTGCGCTTCAGTGGGGCCAGGCCGGCCCCGCAAGGGGGCCGCTCCTCAGCCATGAGGGACTCGCCCACAGGGTCGCGGTCCCCTGAGCCGTCGGTGGACGACGTGTTGGGGTCCTGGCCCAGGGAAGGATTCCTGCTCTTCCTCTTGCGGGGGCCAGGCGAGCAGCCCACGGAGGACATGGTGTCCTGTTGGCTGGACCAGGACATGGTGTCGTCCTGTGCAGGGGGCAGCGGTGTGGGTGGTGGGCCGTGCCGGAAGTCAGGCCCCTCCATGCTGCTATAGTCGCCAGCCCGAGCCTCCGGGCGCTGGTCCCTCACCAGGCAGGGGCTGGGCTGCAGCGAGTAGGAGCCACCACCAGGGTTGGGTGCATACTTGGGGCGTGGGCCGGCCCGAAGTTTGGGGCTGGAACCAGCCTGCTCCACGTAGACCAGCTGCCGCACATACTCTTTTCCTGCGGGGCTGTAGTCCAGGCTCATGAAGCGCTCGGGGCCCCGCTGCTTGGTGAGCACCAGCTGCTGGTAGGGCGTGGGGCCCGTGTGCTTGGGTGACTGCAGGAAGGCGCGTGGCTTGCGCCCGGGCGACCTCTGGGGTGAGCCGGCCTTATAGCCCCCACCGGCCTCATACTGCATGTCCACGGGGGGCTCGTCATAGATGGGGGCCTGGTACTCTGCAGGGGGCTCTTCGTAGAGTGGCGGCTCGTAGGCGTAGCGCGGGGAGGATGGCTGCGAGTCACTGGAGGACCTGCGTGGCTGGGCCTGCAGCGGGGTACAGAAGGTGTCGCCCCCGCGTCCTGGAAGCGGGGAGCAGCCCCCGGTGAGCTCGGCCCGCTTCAGGAAGGGTGATGCCCGCCTCTCAGGGAAGAAGATGGCAGCGTCCGCGTCAGGGGCGAATGTCTGCAGGCCAGGCGAGTGCTGGCCGCCCGAGGGCCTGCGGCCGCGGGGCCCAGACTGGCCATCGCAGGGGAAGCCATTGCCCTGTGGCATCAGAAAACTGGGCTCACGGTCGGTGACCTTGATGAGCATACGCTCTTTGGTCCCTGTGGTCCACTGCAGTGAGGAGGCCCTGAGGGAGAACAACAGGGCTCACTGGAAGCCGGGAGTCTCAAGGGACAGGAGGCTCAGTCCTTCCCACACTGCCTTCCCTGCTGTCTCTGTGTGTGACCGTGGGCTCCCCCGTGCACCCTCTGCAGGGAGCCCTGCCTGTCTCTGCCTTCTCTCCAGCCCCCAGCCCACCAGGTAGAGGGAGGCACAAGGGGATTCCTGGAATGGAGTGGAGGTTCCAGATCTCGGCCCTGGGCCCTGCCCAGCCCACCTAGGCAGGGCATGTGGGCTCTTCGGGACTCCCTTTCCAAGCACGGAGACTCGGAGAGGGTGGCAGCCCTGCCTGCCTGGGCGAGCACGCTACCCTCCAGGTCTCCACTTGTCCACCCAAACGGACCACAACTGCCTAGTGTTGCCAAACCTGCACCCTTGGTCCTGGGGAGCCCTGCACCTGACCGCAGCCCTGCCCAGTGCCAGTTGAGGTGGACCATTTGGCCTTTTGAGCCTCAGGCTACTCATTTCCAACCCAGGACACAGCCACTCTCCGGCAAACATCACATCCACACAGTGCCTGGCCCAGGCACCCACCCTGCACCCCCGTCTGTGCCGCCTGCTGCCTGGTCAGCACTTCAAACCTGCTCTCACTCCCAGACTTGGTGAACCCTTCTGGACAAGGGACCACGGCCCAGACAAACCTTCTGGGACAGGTACAGCATGATGGGTGGGGGAGGCAGGAACCCACTCTTCTCCTCTGGGCTCTCTTAATGGCCCATCCACCCCAGGACATCCAGAAATGCCACCCCAGGGTGACAGTCACCATGTCTATGGGAGTAGCCAGACTGTGGTGCTCCCGGGTGCAACCTAAGGGTACCCAACTGGCAACACCCATTAGCCAACAACAGGTCACTACCACCTTGTGCCTGGACAGCCGGGTGTCCGGCAGGGACAAGCTCCCAGTGGGTGGGGTGCTCGTGTGTGCCCTGTGAGGAAGGACTGGCCCTCTCTCTGTCCTCGTGAGCCCCCTTCCCCCCCCACTTCAGGTTGAAGACAAACCACAGTCCTAGTGTGGCTCATCTGTCAGCGTCCCCACTGTGCTCTCACACACGGCACTCCCTGCTAGGCAGAACCCTTGGCAAGGAGACCCCTGACCAGGCTTGTTGGACAGAGGGAAACGGGTCTACCTGTAGTGGAGAAATGGACCGTCTGTGCCATAGTCCCGGGAAGTCTCATAGTCTCTCTCAAAGAATACGCCCGGTGGCGAAGAGCTGAAACAGTGCAACAAGGGTGGATATAAATACAGTGCTTACAAATATGATGCCCTCAAACCTCAAAATACCCCACCTTTTGCTGCGTTTATGAACAGGGTACCACCCTTCAGCTGTTTCCTATTTCTCAGGAATGCACTCTGAGTCCCGGCCCGTCCCCTCTTCACTTCCTTTGGTCCAGTTCTCTGCCCTCAGCCTGCCCTCTGCAGTGCTACTGGCCGGATGCAGAAGGGACCACTCATATTGTGGCCTCTGCCCTAATGCCACGGGGCAGGCAGGACATCTGAGGGGCAGGGCCACTAAAGGGTACTGTCCTGGATTTCAAGACTCCAAGCACCAGAACTGGGCCCAGTGACAGGTGAATGGGAACCACAGCTTCAGCCAGAGGTGACAAAGAAGCCTCAAAGCCTCGTGGCAACCACAAGCACCGTAAGGCTTCCCATCGAGACCTCACCCCTATCATGGGGCTTGACACAGGGCAGGCCCTCAGTAAGTGTTGATAAGTGGAGGATTATCTTGCTCAATGCCCAGAGGTATGGTCAAATGAGTGTCTGCTTGTGATCTGAAAACTCAATAATCCAGAGGCAGAAGGAGGTGACTTAACCTGATGAAGAATATCCACATTAAGCCAAACTGCCTACATAGTATTCAGTCTTGGATGGTGGAAGCATAACCAATAAAATCAGGAACAAGAATATCTGCTGTCCATCAAGTAATATAATTTTGAAAATGCTGGTCAATGCAGTAAGACAAGGGAAAAAAAAAGCAAGCAATCTAAATATTTGAAAGTAAGAGATAAAACTATCATTAGCTGTCAACTCAAAAACCCAAAAGAATCAACAGAAAAACTACTAGAAGTATTAAGAGAGCCTGTTGGGAGCTCTGGTGGTGGAGTTCCGAAGGTATCTGAATGATAACCAGAAGGCTGGAGGTTCAAACCCACCAGTCACTCCTCAGAAGGAAGATTGGGTAATCTACTTCTGTAGAGATACCGCCTCAGAAACCCAAAGACAGGTCGCTATGAGTCAGAACCAACTCGAAGGCAGTGAGTTTGTTTTTTTTGGTAATAACGCAATGCTTGTTTATATGGAATATATGAAAGCAATGGCTTTTTTGTGTGTGAGCATAAAGTAGCCAGAAAAAGTTATAATGGAACCAAGTTACTTTCACAACACCAACAAAAGAACAAAAATGAAACTAACTTCCTAGGCATATATGTTAACAAGAGATAGGTAGGCCCAATGGGAACAAAACTATTAAATGCTATTGGCGTACTTGAAGGAAGACTCAAATATGTAACAGAAAAGCACACATGTTCAAATGGAAAGACCCTAAACCTTTACCATGAAGTAGTTCATAAAGTTAATCTAATTCTAAAGACATTTCCGGTAAGACTTTTTAAAAATGAAGAGTGTGGGTCTGGTAGAACAGATTCCGAAGAAAGCCAAGTACTGAGCTAAGAATTGAGTAAGCAGGAGTCCATACATAGCAAGTATCTTGGAAACAAATCAGGTGGCTAACAGCAGGAATGGGGTGAAACAAATGGTGCAGCAGTAAAAATACTGTTGCAGTAGTGTATTTTTAAAAACTGCAGTGACACCCAATCAAAACACAAGCAAAGGACTTGAATAGACATTTCATCAAAGAGGACAGTCAGACGGCCAACCAGCACCTGGACAGATGCTCAACGACATTAACCACCAGGGAGATACAGATCAAAACTACTACGAGATACTAGCTCATCCCTCTTAAAATGGCCGAGATCAAAAAAATGGAAAACACCACGTGTTGGCAAGGTTGTAGGGCAACTGGTACCGTTACCCACTGCTAGTGGGAATGTAAAATGGAGCAGTCACTGCGGAAGAGAGTCTGGCAGTTACGCAAACAGCTGAACACAGAACTGCCATATTGTTAGGTGCCATCAAGTCTGTCCCAACTTACAGTGACCTTACATACAAGAGAACAGAACACTGCCCAGTCCTGTGTCACCCTCCCAATCGTTGCCATGGTTGTGCCCACTGTTGCAGCCTCTGTGTCAATCCACCTCGTCGAGGGTCTTCCCCTTTTTGGCTAACCCTCCACTTTACCAAGCATGGTACCGTACTTCTGACAACATGACTGAAATGCATGGGACGAAGTCTCACCATTCTCACTATTAGGAGTGTTCTGGATGTACTTCTTCCAAGACAGGTTTGCTAGTTGCTCTGGCAGTCTATGGTGTAACCAATATTTTTCACCACCACCACCATTCAAAGGCATCAATTCTTCTTTGGTTTTCCTTATTCATTACCCAGTTTGTGCATGCACTGAGAATACTGAAAATACCAGGGTTTGGGTCAGGTACACCTTACTCTTAAAAGTGCTATCTTGGTTCTCTAACACTGTATAAAGGTCTCTGGGAGCAGATGTGCGTGCCCAGTGCAGTACGACATCCGATTTCCAGACTGATGCTTCCATGGGTATTGACTGTGAATCCAAGTAAAATGAAGTCTTTGGCAACTTCAATCTTTTCTGTTTATCCTGATGTTGCTTACTGGCCCAACTGTGAGGACTTTTGTTTTCTTACAGTGTGATTGGTTGTAGTATTTGGTCTTCATCTTGAAGTGCTTCAAGTCATCTTCACTTTCAGCAAGCATTGTTGTGTCATCTGCATATTGCAGTTTGTTAATGAGTCTTCCTCTAATTCTAATGCTGTGTTCTTCCTCATACAGTACAGCTTCTCGTATTATTTGCTCGGCATACAGATTGAATTGTTGTTGTTAGAGTTGTGTCCAACTCATAGCAACCCTATGCACAACAGAACGAAACACTGCCCGATCCCACGCCAGCTCCATGATCCTTGCTATACCTGAGCCCATCGTAGCAGCCACTGTGTCGATCCATCTTGTTGAGGGCCTTCTTCTCTTTCGTTGACCCTCCACCTTACCAAGCATGACATCTTTCTCAAGGGAATGGTCTCTTCTGACTACATGACCAAAGTAGGTGAGACGAAGTCTGGCCATTCTCGCTTCCAAGGAGCATTCCAGCTGCACTTCCTTCAGGACAGATCTGTTAGTTCTTTTAGCAGTCCATGGTACTTTCAGCATTCTTCGCCAGCACCACACCCCAAAAAGCATAAATTCTTCTTTAGTTTTCCTTATTCATTGTCCAACTCTCCCATGCATACAAGCCAACTGAAAATATCATGGCTTGTGTCAGGCACGCCTTGATCTTCAAGGAGACATCCCTGCTCCTCAACACTTGAAAGCGGTCCCTTGCAGCCAACTTGCCCAGTGCCATACGTTGTCTAATGTCGTGACTGCTGCTTCCATTGGCATCGACTGTAGAACCAAGCAATGTGAAGTCTTTGACAACTTCAATCTCTTCATTGATCGTGATGCTGCTTATAGGTCCAGTTGTGAGGATTTCTGTTTTCTTTATATTGAGATGTAATCCATACTGCAGACTGTATTCTTCAGTCTTCATCAGTAAGGGCCTCAAGTCATCCTCACTTA